TAAACCTGGTGATCTCCTCCATCTTAGCCACCTCTTCCTTGACACTTGGCCAGGCTTTCTGCAATTTTATATATAGTGCTTTCCTGGGCCTTTTTGTTTTCTCTTCATTGAGAGAATACTTAATATTCCATTAAATAAGAAACGTGTTGCCATATAATCCAGAGAAAAGGAATGTTGAGAACATTTGTGAGAGTGGTAATGGCGCCAACAAATACTCCAGTGTTGGAAGCAGTGGTTTCATAACATATGGCAAAGATCTGATCAACAATTTTGTAATACTCTGGAAGATTTAAGATTACATCTGCCAAGTCAACTTCCTTTGAGCTTTCAGCTTAAACTACTCCAAGAAGGATATCATTTATCATAAATATCTAGTGAAATTATCGCTTACAGAAATTGGAATAATTATCAGGAAAATACACTTTTTTCATTTTTAGGTTAAAAAAGGTAATTTTTTTGCCAAAAACTTTAAAATAATAATTTTTTAATAATATTATTATTATTTTAAAATTTTTTTTATATAATTTTACTTCTTTTGAGACCCAGCATGACACTTTTGAAAAACTTTTTTTAATATAATGTGAGGCACCTAGTAAGTGTTCAAGGGTCTGGTGCTCCCCCTAAATCCAATAAAATTTTGAAAAAATTATTTAAAGTTGCATGTGAGAAACAATAGAAGGTTTTAAGAATATGAACAAATCTTTTTTAGAATATAGGGCGAATATATAATTTAGAATGTATTTTTCAAAATAGAATGCTCAATATTTTTAAAAAAACAGAGCAATAAATTAGTAGAAAATCACTTATCTAACTTTTTTCATTTTACACTGTGTTTTATCAATTAAGACTAATCAGAAAATTTTTTTATTTATTTTTAAAAAATATTTTTAAAAATAGCATGATACTTTTAAATCTTGACATTATTCATAATTTCGCATTACATTTTCAAAAGGTTATTTTTACAATAAAAACTCTGGAATAAATATTAAAAATTAGAAGACTTTACAGAGATAATGCAAATTTTATGGAAACTAGAAAAACTTCATATTAAAAGCAACAAGGCTTGTCTAGACATACACTTTTTTAAAAACTGATAACTATTTCAAGTTTAACTTTACAATGGTATTTTTAACTAAAGTAATCAACAATAATTTTTAAAAAGAAAGAACATTCATTATAACTCATGAAACAAAAGTTATGTTCACTCAAAATCTATCAGTTTACCATTTAAAAACCAAAATGTTATTCAAAATATATCTTCATATACTTTACAACATGATTTATTAAACAATGGTCTTGGTTTCGCTTTACCAATAGCAATTATACAAAAGACGGATGTATTTGCTCAATTTGATTGTATTTTGCAATTTCTAAACATTCAAATAAAAAACAATGATTGATAATCTCAAATTTAAAGTGAATTTTCCATCTGGCAAACAACTACATATGCAAATACACATCATCTGAGAGTTGTCTAAGAAAACATAAAATATTAAAAAGACT